GTTGTGAACGTATTTGGGCACATTTGCTTGGATAGTTGGAGAATAGAGGCGGGCTTGACTTGTTGGAATTTGTTGCCGGTGGTTGCACGGCCCACTTGACTGCGGGTGACAAAATGCAAGCTCTGTTTGTTTTTTTTCTTTTTTGCCCCTCCCGTTTGCCACCGAATACACTTGGGGGGGGGGGAGTTTGTGTCTGGCTCGCGTTACCTTTCAAGGTCGCAGGCAGGCAGGCAGCGAGCTCAGCCGCGTTTGGCGCTTTCCGCAGTCGAGATGCAAAACGTGGAAGCAAGCAAGACGGCCGGGCTCGAATAGCGTCGGCCGGACCGAGCCACCGACCGACCGGTCCAAGTATGCTGCGGCCCGTCTGGTTCTCTCACTCGCCCCTTTTGGGCTTCGACTTTTCTCATCATGGACACTTTGGAAGCCCGGCGCAAGCAAGTGTTGGAAAAACGGCTCCGATGGTTGACCCCGAGGACGTGTGAGCTTGTCAATTCAAGGATGTCAACTTGCGCACCTCACGTCTTTTCTTTCTTTGTCCAAATGGCCGCCGGCGCCGGCGCCGCAGCACATCGTCAAGTGTCACGGGAGCACCCTGCTGCCTCAGTTCCTGGGAATGTACCGGGTGAGCGTGGACAGCGAGGAGACCTACCTGATCGTCATGAGGAACATGTTCAGCCACCGCATCGTGGTGCACAGGAAGTACGACCTCAAGGTGAGGCCAAACGCCGCTTTCCGCTTGCGCCGCCGCCGAGAGAAAAGCGCGACACGTATTCGGCTGCAACTTGGAGTGAACTCGGATTTGGGATCAATTTCCCACCAATCCTTTTCAGTGGTTCCGCTCTTCCACTCGTAGATGCTTGACAGGACCCCCCCCAAAAAAAAACCCAAATAACAAGCCTGCCATATTTAGTTGTTTTGTTTTTCTTCCGGCCCAAGGCCCATCTTCCATCTTCTGAGATTGGCATCCGGTGCTCCTTCTGCCTGAGCTGCGCTTTGTGTTTCGAATCGAGTCAAAAATCAATCGGGAAGGACGCTTTGTATGCTTGCGTTCAGTATTGATGGGCAGAAAACCCGAAATCTTCATGCGGCTCGACTCCTTGCGATCGAAGGTCAAAGCGGCGCCCGGACTGACAAACGAGGAGGCGGGGGTCAAGCATCCAAAATATCCTTCCCAATCCATGGCAAAGTGGACTCCCCAGAGGGCAAGGCGTTGCTTTTTTTTTTTTTGAATGCTCATGTGAGAAATCTGCTGCGGAGGTTTTTGTTTTAAGATTGGGGGGGGGGGAGACCATCGAATGATCAAAACTGTAAATTGCCTGATCTTGGATAACGCGTGCGCCCTTGGACAAGATGTCGACGCATTTTTAAGATGCGGAAAAAGTCTTCCGGCCTACGACGCTAAAAAGCGGCGTTCGGTATGAAAGGTGTGAGAACGACGCGGCTATTCAGTCTGGTTTTCTCCGCAGGGTTCTCTGGTGGATCGGGAAGCAAGCGACAAAGAACGAGTAAAAAGCCCACTCCGCTTTTCTCGAGCATGTCATTGGCCGTCGTCACAACCGCGCGTGCGAATGACGCAATCGTTTGGCTGGCGTGCAGGGTAAGGAGCTTCCCACCTTCAAAGACGTGGACTTCAGGAACAACATGCAGAAGGTCTACGTCACCGAGGAGCAGAAGGAGAAGTTCATGGAGAAACTCAATCGAGATGTGGAGGTGAGCCGACCGGCAAACGGGGACGCCTCCCTATGGCTGCGGCCCCCCCCCCCCCAATCCATCCATCGGTGGGGGAAAAGAATCTCCAGCAGTTGTCGTGTCACTTTCTCCACTTCGCCAAAAGTCGCTTTCGCTCGACCGAGATGTTGGAGCGTTCTCGGTGTTTTGGCGACATTGGCACAAGGCGTCCAGGCCGCTCCAAATTTGCCTGCGAGACGCCGACTTTGTCCGTCGGCCGAGAATACGACCCTTTTGGGACAGCTCGGGCCTTCTTCCGCCTCTGTGGGAATACGGCCCCGCGGCTGTGCGCGTCATCTTTTTTGCCGTTTTTCGTTGAGAACATGCACCCCCCCCCCCCTTCACTCTTTGTTGCTATCGCGAGCAGGAACGACAAACGGCCCGGTAGACTTTTCCGCCACGCAAGGCCTACTTTTTGCTCTCCCGCAATTTTCAGCCCGTCCTTCATTTAAAGAATTGGCTTCGACGGGGGCTGAACAATTTGGTGAAATGGTCAAATTGCGATTTCCCCCCCCCCCACTCCCCTCGAAATTGCCATTTGTTTTACGACGGTCCCTTTTGAAAGGGACCGTATTTTCACGACCATTCGGCGCACCGTATTGTTGGGCGCAGTCTCAGTAACGGGTGCTATTTCTGTGTTTGACACATAGACAAAACGCGCAGCCAGGCATGGTAAAACATACGGCATGCATGCACGCACGCTAAAAACACGTTTTTAAAAAGGCAACGGAGGCACAACTGAGTTCGGTTGTACTTTATTTAGCCATTTTACAATGTACTCACGTTTTTCTCTTCACCTGTTACACGCGCACGCTTCCCTCACTGGCAACTGGTACCTGCTAGGGGCGTGCCTTGAGCGTCCTCTTACACGCCCACCCTTCACTCATTGGCGGACTTCCGCATGCCTGTCGTCATTCACTGCGCCTTTTCTCGAAATAAACCGCGCGTCGGCCAGAAGCGCTCTCAGTCATGCTTTGGAAGTCGGCACATACACGAGACGCTCCGCATTATAAGGCGTCCTGTCCATTTGGGAGAAAATTGAAGACTTAATGGCGCCTTATAGTCGTGAAAATACGGTACTTTTCAACCAACAAAAGGATCTTTTGTGACGCCTGACGGGATGCTAAGTTGAAGGCAAACGAAGCACGACTCCAGATGAGAGACGCTTCACGGCCGACAAGAGCGGGAACGAGGTTCGGGGAAGTCGTCGACGCGCAGCCCCGCAAAGTGCGGCGCAAACTCGAGTCTCCGCGTCCCCGTCGAGCCGCGACCCAAACCAAAACGCATGCAAAGAAACGTGGGCCTTTGCGCTTCCGACTCGACGTTTCACGAAGCGCGTCGTCGGGCCTTCTGTGCCACCGCGGCCGCCCGGGCCCATCGCAGGTTCCATCGCCGACGCGGCCCGAGCGCCGTCCAAAGGTTGACGAGACCCCCGCTCGTTTCCTCCTCAGTTCCTGGTGAAGCTGAAGATCATGGACTACAGCCTGCTGCTCGGCATCCACGACGTGGGCCGCGCCGAGAGGGAGGAAGAGGAAGGCGAAGAGGTTTCCAACGAGGAAGACGCGGAGGCGGAGAACGGCCTGGCCGCCGCCGGATCCTACGGCACGTCTCCGGAGGGCATCGCCGGTTACATGTCGTACTGCAAACCTCTCGGACCCGGCGAGTTTGACCCCTACGTGGACGTCTACGCCGTGGGCAGCTGCGCCGGTGAGCGCTCCGAGTTGGCCCGCTTTGCATCCGCATTTGGCCCAAATCGTGCTTTTTGCTTTTGGCCCATAGTTGATTTGATGGGCCACGCCCTTCATTGTCACCTTTTTGTTGTTGCAGGCGCCCCCCAGAGGGAGGTCTACTTCATGGGCCTGATTGACGTCCTGACTCAATACGACACCAAGAAGAAAGCGGCTCACGCGGCCAAGACCGTCAAGCACGGGGTGAGTGTGACGGACGGCGAGAAAGAAATGTGGCTCTTTTGCTTTCTCGCGCTCTCTTTTCTGCCTTCCCGCTTGCCGGATTCTGACCCGCACGTTTTGCTCTTGTGCCGCAGGCGGGCGCCGAAATCTCCACCGTACACCCCGAGCAGTACGCCAAACGATTCCGGGACTTCATCGCCAACATTTTTGCCTAAACTTAAATGCCTTAGCATTGACCAAAGCCGGCGTGCGCGGGCCGTCGTTTGAATGTGTTGACATGGAGAAAAAAGGCTTCTTGCGTTGTGTTTGGCGGCCTTCATATCGCTTTATTTATGTAGAAGATTCGCTCTCGCTCTTCCGCCGATGGGAAGAAAGGTCCCGCCGGTTTCTTCCTCGTACATTAAAAGACGAGTTGATGTTTGAAAAAAGAAGGGCCTCTCCGACGGCGGCCCTCGCGCTCATTTCCCTTTGGCGGCGCACGGAGGCCGCTTTTGCGCACCGTCGTCGCGCTTCGACCGGCGTTGGAGGCCATGGCTTCCCGGCCAGTCATCGAAACGCCCGCTCGAAGCGGGCCGCCGTCCCTCACCTTGGGCTGAGAAGAGGAAGGCCGTTTTTTTTTTTTTTTTTTGAAGCACAAGAATACGAATGACGTCATCAATGACTTTGTTTGGCACGCCGACGTCGGAGCTTCGCATTTGTCTTTCGGAATCAAACCATTTAGGAGCAGTTTTGGGGGCCGCGTGGCCCACTTGAAAGTCGCGCTCATATTCTGATGTGAATCTCAGAGGGGGCGGGGGGTGGGGGGGGTCTCATTCCCGAATGGAGAGCGATGTGAGCAATGCCCCAAAGGTGTGCCACGTCCACAGTCACGCATGCAGAATTTGCACTTGACTGCGACAAAAATGCAAGAAATGAATTTGTTGCTCAAAAGGACAACGCCACTCGTTCATCAAAGAATATTGGACGTCGCTATTGAATAGATGCCATTTCAATTCAAAGCATCTTGTCGTGGTCCTTTCTTGCTGCTGGTGTGATGCGTTGGAGTTTCCCCGTGAGCCGTCGGCACGCTATGTTCAATTCCGCAGTTGAGCGGCTTCACCGAATGCGACGTTCCAAAAACCCGGCGTGGAAGTGGACACGAGTCGCTCTCCTTTGTGTCAGGCCTCATCCGTTGCACGCCTTGTATTTTTGCAAATGGCCATTTTGACCAAAATATATTTTACACACGCAAACAAAAAAGGCTGCGTTCTTGCTCTTCATTCGACTGACAAAGCACGCGAGCGCAGCGACTCCTCCCCCACCGGCCTTTCGAACACGCTGGCTGCCAACTGCAAGTCACGGAGGAGCCCCCAATGTGTCGTTTGTCCCTCATGAGCCGACCATCTGAGAGACGCCACCTCAACTCGAAGTTTGACTCAAAAGGTGGGTGGAGTTCGAATCCAAAGCGCGGCGGCGCCGGACGGGCTGTGGCCTCCTCTGGACAACTGGAGCACCGTCGTCTGCCCTCGGCCTTCCATCCGTTTGCCGCCTCGAGGGCAACTTGGGATTTGATTTAGGCTTGGCCTTCTCCCTTCCCCAATCGGAATTCCGACTTTGTCGCCCCAACGTGCTCCCCATCGACGGACGTGGCATTCGTTTCTGCGCGTCTCACCGCTGCGTCGTGCGGCTGCCGATCGGGAAGCAAGAAGCCGCTCGTTGCTTGGTGTTCAGGTCTGTTTTATTCATGGGCCGATAGATTCTCATCATGTCTCATGTCCATTGCGTGCGGACATCCATCCATCCATCCATCCATCCATTCATCACGGTAACACGTCGGCACAAGATTGGTCAGGAACGCATCAATTGTCATCACGCATCAGCGCACCCATTTTTAGGACTTTGGACGACTTTTTTTCTTTCCTGTTGTGACACGTGGAGGAGAACAGAATGTTTTCATGGACGTTGTCGGCTCTCAAATCAACAAGGCCAAAATACAAAGAACAGAAGCTTGACGTGTCCATCAAGTGAGGTGCCCCGAAAGCAAAAGACTTAACACCAACATGAAACAAAAATCATCTCTGTCTTTAAATAATAGCTGACAATATAAAAATACATGGCAATATACTGTAGTTGTTCAATAAAGCAATAATTCATATCGAAAATAGATTGAGGTGTATAAAAATATGCCTGACGACTTTTTGAAAAGGAAAAACAGCCATACGGGGTTTTTTTTCTTTTTATCTGCCGCTTCAGAGGATCACGCGGTCAACGCACTAAAGTCCAACATAGCGAAAGTACGATCACCCGACAAGCATTCACCACACTCACTTGACAATGAAAGCATCCCGGGGCTTTTTCATGTGACTATTGCCCCCCCCATCCCCACACACAACATCCACAAAAATAGAAGGGAAGGAAGGTTGTAAATAGTATGCAATGAGCAGACCCCCAAATAAATAAGAGAATCGACTTGTTGAGAGCAGCTTTGGACAGAGGGAGAGAGGATGGTGAGGGAGACACATTTGTTGTCCTTTGTGTCACCGTATTGCAGCCCACTGAGATCACAACAAACACAGGCAGTGTCAGCTATTCGAAAGTAGAAAGTAGGGATGCCCCGACTGAAAATTTCTGGCCCAAAGGGCTATTTTCGCTTTCCGGGCAAAACGCTTGTGTCACAGAAGCAGCGCTGCCAAAACGGGGCAAAAAAAAAAAAGAACCCCCTTCAAAAGAAGCCCTGCGGGTGTGCTGGCAAGCACGGCACTGACTTGGGAGTTTGGGGTAAGATTAGACGAGAAAAGAGAAACGGGGGTTGGCCGATCTGGTCTGGCGGTCGCGGCGGTGAAACGAGCTCCGAATTGTCCCGCCGCTTCAGCCGACCTTTGGCCCTGGGCCGAGGACTGCACCTCTACTCCGGCGGTGACAAAGCGCGCGCGTCGTTCGGGAGGAAGCACACAGCTCGCGCTTTGACAAATTTGCCAAAGTGCCCAAAAAATGATCCAGGCAAAGATTTAAAATAAAAAAAGGATTCCAATTTCTTTGTGTTTTGCTGCTTGGCATTTCGTTCCTCACTCACCCAAAACCACATTTTGGGTTTGGCCAAGAATTTTTATTTGGGTACAGCCCGAACAGAAAGGAAATAAAAATGCAACCCGAAAGCCCGGGCAAGAGGCAAGGAAAGTATTCCGGCACCAACGGCCGAGAGAGAGCGTGAGCGTGAGCGGTATTGTCGACCGACAACGCAGCCGGACGCGCACGCCTGAGCTGCGAGTCCACCTCCGTCTTTCTGACTGATGCGGATCGTCTTCCCTCCCTGTTACGTCTTGTCCGGGCAGTGGCGATCTACTGTAGCCCACGCAAGGTCTCCCCGAGCACCTCTCCTCCTCGGCTTCCTCCGGGCGCAGAACGAGGGCAGAGGCTGGGCTCTCACTCGCCGTCGCACGGTAGCACAGCGTCCTCGCCGGTCCGGGAGGGCACCGGAGCGCCCGCCTCGTCCACGCACCAGCAGTGGCCGCGCTGCATCCCTTTGGAAGAGCGACACTGGGTGGGATGGCAAAAAGGATGGCGGAGAGAAAATTGCACGTCGTCAAAACACAGAGAGCGTGTGCGCCGGCCGCCGGCGCCGGAAAGGTTCACGCCAAAACAAAATTTGATTTGATTTGATTTGTTTTGAAGCCGATCTTTCTGATGGAGTCCTTCGCATTCCAAGTCCATCCAGGAAGTGACACGCATGCGCACAACACACGCTCAGGTGGCGCAGCGTATTCACCCAAGTCAATACCGGATGCCGGGGGTGTCCAAAGTGGGTCCTGAAGGGCCGATGTCCCGCCTGGTTTCCATCTCTCTTTGGAGCAACGCGCCTGATTCAAATCATCAGGGTCGTTTCGAATGCTGCTTCAGAGCTGATCACCCGAATCGTGTCGCAGGCGAGAGAGCTGCAATGCAAAACAGGCAGGACGGCGGCCCCCCAGGCCCGCAGCTGGACGTGCCCTGCCGTATGGCCCTCTTGCGTGCGTCGCTCTCAGTCCCGACGCATTTGGTGGCCATCGCAAGGATTTTGGACCGCTTTTTCTGACGGAAACCACGATCGACATTTGAGCTGGTTTTCTGACAGAGGTTACGGACCAAATGGTTCAGCGATTCCTGATCTCTTGGTTGAAAAGATAATACTGGTCATTTGCAGCCGTACGTCCCGAGAATAACTTGATGATTCAATCCGATGGGATAACCAACTGGGCACTTTGTGACTCAGAGCAACCAAGGCTAACCCCAAAGGTTCTGTCGACTAAATAGAGCCTAAACCGCTCATTGGCGCTACCGCCAATGCCCACCAGGTGCTGCAAATGAGCCAACAGAATGCTGTGATCCACCGGATCGAACGCTGCGGTTAAATCCAATCAAAACCAGGCACGCATAGTCTCCGGTGTCATTTGCCAGGAGGATGTCATTAAAATCTTGTCACAGTGCTGACTCTGCGCTATGCATCATCTTCAAACCCGACCGGAAGACTTCCAAGACGGAAAGGTTTCGACTGCATGCGCACCACCTGTGGCAGATTTTTTGGAATGCAAGGCAGCTTGGAAACGGGCAGCACCACAAAAGGGTGGCACCGCCGCACGTTTGAATTGTTGGGGGAACGATACCAAAAGACAGGCTGCTGTTGATCGTGGCCAGGACCGACGGAGGGGTTTTGACTGCAGTTTTCAACGGAGCCACCGAATCCGGGATGGCACGGCGTGATGAGTTCAACCGAGAGGTGAGTTCCTCTCTGTTTGAGGAGGGAACGCAAACGTTACTCAAGGTATAAGAGAACCGACCAGCGGCGAGAGGGTTAAAAATTGGGCAGCTGCACTTGGGAGCGGCAGATTTCACAGCTTCGTGGAAGAAAACTGAAATCACATTGTCCAAGACTTTCAAGTTTGACACATGTGGACCATAAGCAAGAACAAGGTCTCAAATCTGTCCCTGTTCATGTGTCGGGCTGGTCGCGGTGCACAAAAGGAACCCTTTTCAGGCCCCAACGATGACAACCTGTAACCTGACAACATGATAGGTTGGTTGTCCACTGGAGTAACCGCCGTCCCCGAAAGGGTTAAGAGTCAAGAAGTCTTCACGGGGCCTTTGCTCGTGGTTTTTCAGGACAACGCCCGTGAATATTAAGCGCCTCATGAGGAGCACATGAGCAGCGCTTGCGCGAAGGGCGCGCACGACGGCGGAAGAGGTCACGGCAGAAACGGAGGCCACGTCATCTCGCCACTCGCGTGCTCAAACGCAGCCCAACTTGCCACGAATTGTCGCAAATCCAACAATGACTAGCGATCGGAACCCGGTCGAGACTCGGGGAGAAGAGCGGCGAGCGCTGCGAATGGAAAATAAAGCCCAAGCAGCAGGAGCGCGGCCGCACCCGCCGGCACACCGGCCGCCATCTTCAAAGATTCACTCCAATCTGCATCTGAAACGCCAGCCGTTTGTGGCCAGCCCCAGCATTCACGAGATCCATCGTTTATCTCCACAGAGACATTTGAAACAAAGAAAACGTCTCGCAGTTAACCAGTGAATCAAAACACGCAACTAACTGAAGGCAACTGGTGAAAAGTAGTTGTCGAAGCTGGCGGTCCCACTTTTTGATACGACAGTGTTTCCATCCGTCCGTTTTCTGACCCGCGTATCCTCAGGAGCCTCTCCCAGCAACCGAAGCGCTTGCCAGCCCATCGCAGGGCACACAGAGACCAACAAGCATCCGCGCTCACACCGCGGGACAATTCGGCTCGTTCCATTCACCGGCCACGCATGTTTTCGCAGTGTCGGAGGAAAGCGCAGTACCCGGAGAAAAGCCACGCACGCACGCACGCACGCACGCACGCACGCACGGGGAGAACAGGCGAAGAGCGCACAGGACGGCCGGTGCCGCAATCCAAGCCCGCACACCTCTGCGCCGCGAGGCCGACGCGCCAAGCGGTCGTCATAAAACGCTGATCTTATTTTCTTCTCTGAGAGCCGAGGGAGAGAGAGGAAGGCGGCGGTTGATTTTCTGCCGCAGCTTTCATCCGGTAGGGCACCGTGCCGGCATTGCCGACAAGGCCGGCTGGCTTCCTGACCTGCTTTTGTCTGTAGAAGCCTCGGGTGTCACAGTTGGGGATGTAGATGTCGCGGTCCCACTGGATGACGGTCAGCTGCAAGCCTCTCAGGACGCTGTTGAGCAGCTTGCGGCACGGCGCCTGTGAGAGACGCAAGGCGGAGTGCGACTGGGGCCCGAGCTGACGAGAGAGAGGCTTCATCGCGTCGGGTCACGCGTCGGCTCGCACGCGCTGTGTCGCGCGAGAGCCGCCTTCCGGCCGCAAGCGGAGAAAGTACGTCGACGGGGCACATTTGCCGTCAGCTTACGTCAGCGCGTTGTTCTTCCACATTGCTGGCGATTTTTCCGATGACCTTTGGACGATTTTTGTGAGACTTGGTCCCAATTGACCAAATGATCAATCCTCTTCCTTCCACAAGCCTCGGGTGAAAGTGCAAATATTTGGTGTGGGCTTGAAACCTGGCCAATTGTGATCCTACTCGGTTCGTCGTACCGCGCGATGCCGCGTGTGAATACGTGAAAGCGCAACGTTTCCTCAAAGCGCGCACCCATCCCCAATTGATCGGCGTGACCTTGTCAGGCAGGCTTTGTTCAGGTGGCCCGACGACGTAGAAGACGACGACTTACTTTTTCACTGTCACCGCTGTGTGACGGATGAGGACCTGAGAGAAGACCATACGGCAAAAGCAGATTAGTGAAACGCAAGCATCTGCCTTCTCATCATCACACGGGAGCGACCGGAGCTTGATTGGTGCGCGCACACAAGCGTTTCAAGCCATCGAGCGACCGATCCGATGGACGGACCGGCGGTCATCGGCAGTGACTCAGATCATTTGCGTGGAGGCGTTTCTATTTCACACGACAGAGTCTTGCTTTGGCAGTAAAAAGCTCCTCCATCGGGATGTCGGCGCCTCCGTGACGGTCACGCCGAACACCGCGCGAGTCACGTCCATGCGGGTCATCGCCTTATTGGGACACTGTGGCAGCACCCACGGAAAGGCCGTTCAGCCTTTCCGTGTTTGTCCCACATACGTTTTGGGCAACTTGCGAACAAATTGCCAGAAAGGGGGGTGGGGGGGGGGTCGGTGTGAAGGAAGGCACTGCAGAGCAGCACCGGATGTTGGAGCTCCTTCTGACGCACGCCGCTTGAAATGGACCATCGGTGGCCTTCAGCACGTCCTCTATCGCGAGCGCATAGAAAGGTGTGCGTGTGCTCACCTGTGGGGTGGGGCCTCTCGGTGGGACCGGTCCTGATCTGCTTGACACAAAGGCCCCTGCCTTGCAAGAGAGCCTGCAGGGGGCTGCGCTCCCCAGGCGGCGGGATGCAGCGGAGCCCCTTGGCGCAGCTCAGAGTGTACACGCCGCAGGGCTCCCCCTGGACCAGCAGCGGCGTGCTGCCGGCCAGCTTGTGCTCCCTGGGGGGCCTCGCCGCCGCCGCCGCCGCCGCCAGCGGATCCCCGCAGCCGGGACACACCTTGAAGGGGCCCGAACGCTTGGCCCCCGTCCGGGACGCCCCGAGAACAATCAGGATGAAGACCATGCCGGTCAAGTTCCGGAGCCGAGGCATTTCTGGCAGTCTGCGCGCCGCCAGGTGAACGGGGCTGAAGCGATGGCTCCCCTCGGCGCCCTCTCCCGCTTCGAGGACGACGGCGGCCGGGTCCCCTGCGGTGCCAGAACCGAGCTCCGGAGCGACGCGGCGCGGTGCCGGCTTTTAAAGAGCTGAAAGGCGGCGTGCAGTGAGTGAGTGTGAGAGAGCGAGAGAGAGAGAGAGAGAGAGGAAA